ATATTATTTTTTCGTTTTGTGGATGGCACATTTTAAAAAAAAAAATTTTAAAAAAAATTTATCTCAGTATACATTTTTTATTCATATATATAATTTTATATAAATTCAATTTCAATTATAATAATCAATTTTATATGAATTTTATTTGAGAAGTATTTATTTTTCATATATTTTTTTATCATGTATTTAGTTTTATCACTGTCAATTTTTTTTATATAGTTAATATTTCAATTTAATTATTATGATATTTGAAAAAAATATATTTCAATATACAAATAAATTTAAAAAAGACAGAATGTGCTTAATTATATGCATCACACAGATCAAATTAATTCTCTTTTATATTTTATATTTTTGTCTATTTTATTGATGTCTTAATATTAATTTATAAATTAATTTTTTATTTAACATGAAATTAATTTAACTTGATTTTGATTTTATGTTAGACATCATATTTCTAGAAGTGATTACATACATGTGTAGCGTGTTGATATTGATTGATTAAAATAATAGAACTCGATATTTTTTTTTTTAGTTAAGTATTTAAAAGATAAATTGACAAATGTTAAATGATAAATAGTGTGGAGTATTATTAAAGAATAATTATTCATAAAAAATGATTGTGCATATTTAAGGCACTTATTGATATTTCTTAAATAATTTTTAAATAAAAATTTTGAATTTTTAGTATTATTGATAATGCACCTTCACGAGCTTTGCAATAAAAGATATGCAAAAATAATTTGGCTGGAATAAAAATTTTACGGTTATTATGATGTGTCACATAATTAATCAGAATTCCTTTGAGAATTGAAATTTATTAAGGTTATAGAGATTTTGGGCTAGATGATACTTTGAGGACACTATTTAGGATTTGAATTTATAATTTTTTATAAATCAATATGAATAACTCTTACAATCTTACTAATATAAATATAAATCCTACCTTTGTATCAACCACCTTAATTACTTTTTCGTGTAATAAAATAGTTAAATATTGTCATATAAAAATAGTATAATAGACCATAATCAAACACCACTTGAAGCATAATTAAAGACTCGATACACCACTTTAGATATAACAAAAAACATAAGAAAATAACAAAGACCTTTTCGATTAATAACCAAAATAATAGACCATGAGTTATAATAAAGTTATAATTTATATATTATAAAATTTTCTGTTATTTTTATTTTCTTCAGAAAAAATATTTTGATACAAGTGGAATTCATGATTTCTGGTAAATTTAACACAAATAAGGATTTGATTTCAGGTTAAGAATACACCTTTTTTCTATATAAAAAAATTTTGAATTTTTTTTATAAGCCCTATTTCATATAGGATCACACGTAGTGACAAAATTTTTCATTAGCCATTAGTAAATTTGTTTGTATTTAGCTTTCAATTATTAAAATTTTCTACACATAAAAATACAAAAATGATCCAGACCCTCACAACCTCCAGACCCCACAACATTTGTGAGAGAGAAGAAAAAAAACAAAATGAGTGCTCACAAATCAATTGGAGGTTGTGGGGTCACAAAAAATGAGAGTTTCAAACATTTTTACATAAAATGTTAAGGCTTAAAATTAATTTTTTATTTTAAAAATAAATTTTTATATATCACACGGGTCAAATGATATACTTTTTCTCGCCACAAAACATAACCTTCATTTACATGGTATACACCATTAATTAATGAACATTACTATTCATACCTAAAAATTGGACTCACTTTTTAGATCTAGTTATGTCAAAAAAATGATTGGTTGATACATTATATCTTCTTGATACATTATCTTCTTAACATATCATTAAGTCTAAGAAAATATATCTAAAAAGTAAATTTGTATATCATTTTTTTAAATGAATATAACACACCACAAACATTATAATTCTATATAATATTTAGGTCTCTTTTAGAAACAGACTATTTTAGTAACATTTTAATTTTTTACAAAAGGATATGCATAAAAATAAAGAAACAAATTTGACAACTTATAATCACTTTTTAATTAAGATATATAATTACCAAATGAGATCTTAATATTTATATAAATTAGTCTAAAGCAAACAATTCAGTATGGTATGAGCAAATGAAGTCGACAAACACTTTAACTCCTGAGATCTTAATATTTATATAAATTAGTCTAAAGCAAACAATTCAGTATGGTATGAGCAAATGAAGTCGACAAACACTTTAACTCCAGATAGTCTTTACTATTCATATGATTAAATCTCGACCAAGCAATTAATTTATCAAAAATGCTTTGTACCCCCAGTTTTTCAGACCCCCAGTGACCCCAATGTTTTCTTATTGGCTGAAATTTTTTTTTTTTTTTTTTTTTTCCTATCTTTCCTTCTCTCTGCCAATCACAGAGCCCACGTGGAGTGGGGGTGCTGGGGGTCACCCCCACTGAGGGTTAATTTATGCCACAAGTCTAATAGTCAGCATTCAAATTAAATTTCAAATTCTGCTTTAGTATTAAACTGAACAACAATGAATCTGTGAAGTGTATAAAATTAAATATTCATCATTTAACTTTGAAATTTTTATCTAATACACTAGGCTCAT